TGGTGGGTGGTGGTGGTGGGTTGGTGGTGGTGGATGATAAAGATGGATTTAGCCTTATTGTCAAGTCTGGGCAAACACCTTTCCATGATACAGCTTAGTTACATGTATTAACCTTCAGAGTTTTTGCATTGTATACCCCCCAAAAAACTATATATATATATAATCATTTTAAAAATGTTGATGTGGGAGACACTGCATTCACACTGATTCTGTTCATCCAAAACAGGAATTTATTTATTGCTCTTAAAAAGAAGAGCAATTTAATTGTGTAAACCAAGATGTCCAGCCATCTCATCCATTTAACACTGACTATTTTACAAAGGAAAGCACCCAAAATACAAAACAACTGAAAATACTCATTAAAGAAAAGCGGAGACATAAAATTTCACAAGACACACATACTTGCTTTTTCTTTACATTCTGAATAAAAATGCATGGAGACAGGTATCAAAGGTTGAAATGGAGGATGGAATCAATTTTTTAAAATAAAGACTGTAAACCCTTTTTGAAGGTGAAGAAGATAGTTTTCCAGCTCTTAAATGGAGATATATTTTACTTTAAGAATGAGTCTTCTAAATCAAATCAAGAGACGAGAAATTAAGTCCCTCTATCAGTGTACCTCAGAGAATTATGTGATTCTGTCATCAGCTTCCCGAAGGTTGCATAATCTGCCTTTTTGAGCACAGTGACAGCCTCTGATGTGCGCTGAATCTCTGATATGACATGCTTTGCCCTGCAATACACCTCCTCACTCAGGGATGATCTGCACTCTGTAAAAATAAACTGTAATAATTCATAGCATTTGCAACTTGTAACACCTACAAACACACTAAACCTTGAAGAAAATAACAAATAAGTGTAAACTTTTAGTACAGTAATGATATGCAACTAAATTTTTTAAATGCTTGTGTCCTATTACACTGTAAATTATCTCTACTAATTCATATACTGAAAGTTGACAAAAACATTTCTTGTATCTAGGCAGAGCAATATTTTGTAGTAAGTTACACTACTGCAAAAGTACATATATAAATAAGTAAATACTGCAAGAACAAAATTCAGGGAGAAATAAGACGCATCCTCCTCACTCTCTAGATCGTCCAGAGTGGCATCACGCAAACTCTTTTTGCCAAGTGCAGCTGCAGCTTCGTAGCACTGCCGACGGCGTGTGGGGTATTCAGAGCCAGATAGTGTGTGTCTGACATTGGAGTTGGTGATCACAAAGGTCACAGAAGGGTCGTCCAGTGGTACCAGACTGGATTCAAGTGACCTGCAGGGAAAGGAAACCACTGTATTCTCGCTGAATTCTAATCATAGTATTTTAAATGTGGCAAATGAAGTATGTATTTTTAAAAAGTCTCTTTGCCTGAGTTTTCTGTAAGTTTATAAAAACTGAATAAATACAAAATGCAAAATGAACTAAAATGAACTGATGCCGTTGATAATCATACACTTTCAAAAGTAGTCTAGCAATCAAATACTGAATATTTCTTTTATTTGTAAGTTTTGCAAACATTTTTCTCGTTTGTAACAACTGTTTAAATTTTGTTTCCTGTCAAATGCCTAGGGCTTCTTCTAGCCCTCCTAACCTGCAGTCGATCAGTAGAGCACAGCCTGCTTTCCCCATCGTTGAGATGAACTGATCCATAATCCCGCACGGCATGTTGGCAAAGTCGTGCTCCGCCTTCTGGCATGCGAGAGCCTTTGCCTGCAAGCTGTTGAAGGCGGATTGTTATTACCACCCAAATACTTTGTTGAAATTACAAAACTTAATGTGAGAGGAAACTAAATTATGCCAAAGATACTAAATATGTTACATATTTTGAATTGCAAAGAAAAGACACTAAAAGGACAGAGGGAAAGAGAGAAAGCACAATATATATCTGTGTGTGTGTGTGTGTGTGTGTGTGTGTGTGTGTGTGTGTGTGTGTGTGTGTGTGTGTGTGTGTGTGTGTGCGTGTGTGTGTGTGTGTGTGTGTGTGTG